TAGTTCATTATCATGCATAACATTATTCCAGTAAGTCCCTTTTTCATAAAAAGGGTATACTTCAGATTTTGTTTCTTCTTCTACAGTCTAGCATACCAGTTTAGGAACTCACAAAAGGAAAGTAATTATGATTGTATGAAATGAATTCATGATTTCTGTTAGCATGTTATTGTTATCTTGTCTGATGCTGTGTTCATAATCCCCCTATCCCCCCCAAACACCACAAAGCCTATTTGTGTCAGAACATTATTGAGTTCAGCTTTGGATATTCAGATGTTTTGGCTTAAGTGCTCATAAATCAGCACATTTACAGAGCCTAGGGCTTGCTGATCGGAAGGTTGGCAGTTCAAATCCCCGTGAAGGGGTGAGCTCCCGTTGCTTGGTCCCAGCGCCTGCCCACCTAGCAGTTCGAAAGCACATCAAGTGCAAGTAGATAAATAGGTACCGCTCTGGCAGGAAGGTAAACGGTGTTTCCGTGTGCTGCTCTGGTTCACCAGAAGCGGCTTAGTCATGCTGGCCACATGACCCGGAAGCTGTCTGCAGACAAACACCGGCTCCCTCGGCCTATAGAGCAAGATGAGTGCGCAACCCCAGAGTCGTCCACGACTGGACCTAACGGTCAGGGGTCCCTTTACCTTTACCTTTAAACCATCAACACACCCATCTTAATTTAAACATACAAGCTGATATATACACTATCCAAATATGCAGATAGGTATCCACACAAAATTGTCATTTGTAACAAAAAAATGTTCAATTGTAGCAAAAGTGGGGAGGTCCTCAAATCATTGTGTAATAGATGGTGGGTGCTTATCCTCTGGACGTCAAGTACAAGTCCCTTGGCAACCATAAAGGCTTGTGAGAAAGGTCATAATGACCCATGCTTTGAACTGGACCTGGAAAGCAACAACTCAGAAGCCAATGAAGCTTTTTCAAAACAAGGAGTCAATATGCTTCCAACACCTAGATCCCAGTTAACAATTTGGCTGCCACATACAAGAAGTTCTTACACGCTTCAGAAAGTTCAGAGGCAGCCTCAGAAAACCGCTAGAGTTCAGGTGGCAACATGAAAGCTAGTCATTTTCTCCTTCTGCACTTGTACATGAAAAATTCACGCCCAGGACTGAGACAAAATTTGAGAAACTCAATTAGTTTGATCCCTGCAGCCTGGCAGAGGAAAGGGAGTCGTGGGTGGGTTGTGACTTCATGGGAGACACAGCGATTTAGAGTTTAGTTTGGGATTTCAAAAGATCATGCCTGGCAGGTCCAAGAGCCCAGTGGCTGCAACCTGGAAGGCAAAAGTGTTGATTAACGTTTCCCGAGCTCCAAATGAAAAGGAATCAAAGGAAGCCAATAGAAAAGGATATGGCAAATTGCTGATGAGCTGTTCTGCACTGATTCTTAGTATCCAAGGAAACAGCTTGAGGCTGCTAGCTCCAAGGCAGAATCTATAAGGATATTCTGAGTTAATTTATCCTTTCATTGCTTTGTTGCCATCTCCTGTCCTCTCTCCACCACCCATTAACAGAGACATCCTCTTGTTCCTTTTTTTTTTTTTTGCATCATACTTTTTTATTGAGATTATACAAAAAAGAAAAAAACACTGACAAAGAAAAAGGAGAGAAGGTAACAATAAGAATACATATAAATACTCAAAGTCCAACCTAAGTGTATCTTATGATACATTAACATATAGAGTATACTTTATTTACTTAAATTATTATTTCCCTTCCCTCGACTGTACAAAAAAAGAAATTAGTTTACCACATATTCCTAACAAATCATAATATACTACACTCTTTCAGACCTGGGGCTCCCCTCCACCCTTTTGGTAAGTATCAAACATGTTCCATACTCCCGTACTTATTTTTCACAAATCAAATTTAGTCGCTAGTAAATTTTTCCTATCCCCACCAGTGCTTTATAGATTTGTTCCTATATAGTTCCAATATTTACTCCAATTTTTCTGAAATTTCTGTTCGTCTTGATCTCGAATTTTAACTGTTAACCTATCCAACTCGGCATAATTTATCATTTTGGCCTGCCAATCACTTAAACTGGGTATATTTTCCACTTTCCAATTTTGCGCCAACATAATTCTTGCTGCGGTGGTGGCGTAGAGAAATATGGTCTTATCTTCTTTTTTAATTTCTTTGCCCATCAGTCCCAACAAAAAGGCTTCAGGTCTTTTGGGAAAGGTGTATTTAAATATTTTTTTAAGCTCATTATAAATAATTTCCCAAAAGCCTTTCACCTTGTTACAACGCCACCACATGTGATAAAGATTACCCTCCACCTCGCCACATTTCCAGCATTTGTTGTTCTGTAACCTATACATTTTGGCCAGCTTCACCGGTGTATGGTACCATCTATATAACATCTTCCAAATATTCTCTCTCAATGCTGTACAGGCCGTAAATTTTATGGTACTATTCCACAGTTCCGACCACCTTACAAAGTCAATATTATACCCAAAGTCGATAGCCCATTTAATCATTGCCTCCTTGACCTCCTCATCTTTTGTCTGCCACTCCAATAAGATCTCATATATTTTAGACAATGTTTTGTTCTTGCTATCTATAACCTCTACGTTAAATTTTGATTTTTTATCATCAAAGCCTAAACTCTTTTTGTCTTCTTTTAACAAATCATGCACTTGATGATATTGCAACCAACCCGTGAGTAGGCTTTGTATCTCTTCGTAGGGTCTAAGTTTGGGCCCTTGATCTGTTTTTCTTAGAAGATCTTCATATGTCGCATTGTTCCCTTCCATATTTAGTTTCTTAACCGTTAGAACCTCTATTGGTGAGATCCACCAGGGGGTTTTCCTTTCAAGGAGGTTTTTATTCCTTTCCCACACCTGGTAGATTGGTCCCTGAAAATATGGTTTAAGAAGCTCCTGTGTACCTTCACCTTCCCATACCACAGGTACGCGTGCCACCCGTACCTATTATCATAGCCTTCCAAATCCAATATATCTCTGTTCTCTAGTTTTATCCAATCCTTTATCCAAAGTAGGCACGCTGATTCATAATATAAGCTCAAATCTGGAAGGGAAAAGCCCCCTCTTTCTTTTTTATCTATTAGTATTTTCATTTTTATCCGTGATCTTTTCCCTTGCCAGATGTATTTCGCTAAGGCTCTTTGCCACTCTTTACACTGTTTTATACCTTTAAATATTGGGATAGTTTGAAACAGGAACAACATTCTGGGTAAAATATTCATTTTTACTACTGCTATCCTTCCTAAAAAGGAGAGTTTCAGTCTTCCCCAGATTTCCATATCCTTCTTTATATTTTTCCAGGTGACCTCATAATTGTCCTTGTACAGATTTAAGTTTTTAGCCGTAATCCAAATTCCTAAATATTTCACTTTCTTAACTGCCGTGATTCCTACCCTTTGTTCTAGATCAATCGTTTCCTCCTTTGTTAAATTTTTAACCAACATTTTTGTTTTATCTTTATTTACCTTGAGCCCTGCAACCGCTCCGAATTCTTCAATTATTTGTAAAGCTTCTTTAGTACTCTTCTGTGGGTCTTCTAGGGTTAATACAATGTCATCTGCAAAAGCTTTTATTTTGAATTCTCTCTTTCCTACCCTGACCCCTTTGACTTCTGTAGCCTCCCTTAATCTTTCATTAAGTATCTCCAATACTGTTATAAATAATAGAGGAGACAGGGGGCAGCCTTGTCTCGTTCCTTTATATATACTGAAGTAATCTGTTGTAGTGCTATTTATTACCAATTTTGCCTTTTGTTCCTTATATATTGCTTCTATGCCTCTCCTAAATTTTTCTCCCATTCCCATTCCTTCCAGGCTTTTGCTTAGGAAGTCCCACGAGATGTTATCAAATGCCTTTTCGGCGTCTACAAATATTAATGCCGCCTGTCTATCTATTTTCATGTCCAAGTATTCAATAATATTTATCAAATTCCTCACATTTTCCCTTAGTTGCCTCCCTGGAAGGAAGCCTGTTTGGTCTTTATGTATTCTCTTATTTAGTACCTTTTTCAATCTTTCTGCCATTACAGCTGCGAATATTTTATAATCGTTATTTAATAATGAAATTGGCCTGTAGTTCTTGACGTCCAAAGTATCAACATCTTTTTTTGGGATTAACGTGATATATGCTTCCTTCCAGGTATTGGGGATCCTTCCTTCTTTTAGTATATTATTCATCACCTCACCTAACACTGGGGATAGTTGGTTGCTTAGTATTTTATAGTATTTTGCCGGAAGGCCATCCGGCCCCGGCGCTTTCCCACTTTTCATCTTTCTAATAGCTTTCTCTATCTCCTCTTGTGTAATTGCCTGATCCAGTGTCTCTTTTTCTTCATTTAAAATTGGTTTTAAGTGATATTTTTGCAAGAAGCTGTCTATTTCTTGTTCTGTTTCTTTTCCTTTTTTATATAAATCCTTGTAAAATTTTTGGAATATCCTTTTTATTTCTTTTGGTTCTTCCACAATTCTTTCTCCCTCTCTTATCTTATTAATAATATTTTGTTTCCTCCTTTCTCTTATTTGCCACGCCAAATACTTGCCTATCTTATTTGCTGACTCAAAATTTTTCTGGTTCATCATTTTAATTTTCCATTCTATTTCTTGATTAATTATCGTGGAAAATTTGGCTTGTAATATCTTTAAATTCTGTTTTGCGGTCTCATCACTAGGGTTGTCAATTAATTTTCTTTCATTTTCCATAATTTGTGTTAGGACCTGATCTTTCTTTGACTCCTTTTCTTTCCTTAATTGGCTATTTTTCTGAATCAAGAAACCCCCTCATCACAGCCTTTCCTGCGTCCCATACCGTCCCTATTTCAGTTTCCCCATTTAGGTTCCATCTAAAGTAATCGTTTATAGTTTCTATAGCCTTATTTACAATCTTCTGATCATTAAATAAAAATTCATTCATTCTCCATCTTCCTGTTTTGAAATCTTTACCCCTTAATTCCATGAAGACCGCATTATGGTCAGAGATAGTTCGTGGGAGAATCTCAGACTTAACTAAGTTCTGTATCAATTCCTTCGATATCCAGATATTGTCTATTCTCCCCCAACTCTGATTTGGATTTGAGAAAAAAGTATATTGTTTTGTCGTGGGGTTTTTATATCTCCATGCATCGTTTAGTCCCAGGTTATTTACCATATCAAAAAAAGATCGAGGTAGCTTGCCTTGGTTCTTCTCCTGGGATTTTGTTAATCTATCTAAATTTGGGGAAACCACCCCATTAAAGTCTCCCATCAATATTATTTTTTGATCCATCCACTCCATCAACTTATTGTCTAGCTCTAAATAGAAAGCTGACTTTTTGTCATTTGGTGCGTATATTCCAACTACTATTATTTTTTCTCCATGAAACACCATCTGAACTACTATCAATCTTCCTTCTTCGTCTTTGTACAATAACTGTGGATTGAGTTTTTCCTTTATATATATAACCACCCCTCTTTTTTTAACCTTATCCGAAGCTACAAAATCCATTCCTAGTTTCTTGTTCTTCAATACCCTCTTATGTTTATTCGCTACATGAGTCTCATGTAGGCAAATTAGGTCACAATTCTTTTTTAATAGTATATGTACAATCTGGTTCCTTTTATTTTTATTGTTCAACCCATTCACATTCCAGTTTAGTATTTTTAAGGTCATCTGTTAACTAGTTTTGGCTTCTCAAATCTCGATAGAGTCTACTGTTCTCTTTCTTCTGCTTCTTCCTTTTCCTCTACTGAGCTCTCCCTTCTTTCTTCTTCTTCACTCCTTTCACCCTCCCCCTCCTCCCCTTGCTGCTCCTCTACCTCTCCCCCCCCCATCATTTTTCCCAAGTCCTTCTCATATCTCCTTGCAAATTTTTGCAGTTCTAGAGTAGTGGACAGTTTGAACCTTTTTTCCTTAAAATAAAATGAAATGCCTTCCGGGAACTCCCATCTATACAATATCCCGTTTTTTTTCAATTGGTTTGTTAATTTTTTATAAGGCTCTCTCCTTCGAAGAAATCTCGAAGGAATCTCTTTAAAGATAATAATTAGGTTTCCCTCAATATATAGCCTTTTGGTGAAGTTCTGTTTCAGTATTTCATTTCTTATCTCGAAAGAGTTAAACATGGCTATTACATCTCCTGGCAATTTTTTTTCTTTGGCTTTAGCCGATTTTGCTCTTATTCGGAAAGTGTTTATCAAGTGATGATTTATCTCTTCTTCCTTCCTGCCTAACCAAATTGCCAATTCTTTCACCACTTTAGCCCTGATATTCTCATTTAGCTTTTCCGGTATACCTCTAAATTTCAAATTGGCTTGATTTTGTCTCATCTGTGTCATAGCCATGTTGTCCAACAATTCTTCCTGTATCTTTCCTAATTCCTTAATTTCTACTCTCATCCTGTCCACTTCCTTCTTACTGTCTTTCGTATCTTTTTGCACCCTTTTCATTGAGTCCTCAAGGGCTTTTGCTCTTACCGATAGGTCCTTAACCTTTCCTGTCAATTCTCCCACCACCCCCTCCAGTTTCTTATCTATGATGTTTTGTACTTCTATTAACTTTTTTTCAATATATTGTTCATTATTTTTAAATTCTTTTCTTATTTCTGCCATCAAGGTATCATAGTCTCTAATTTCTCTTGTATCTTTGCCTTCTTCTTGTCTTGATGGCCTCCTTTCCGCTGGTGTTGCCAGACCCTTTTTCGATCCATTTGGCATCTTGTCTGCTTGGGGTTACTTCTCCTTTAACTCCAGGAAGATTAGTTAACCAGATAACAGACAGTCTTTACCCACGATTTAGCTACTTAGTCCATAGAGTGGAGGAAGTGGTGTTAGAGTAGAACTACCACTGAATGGTAACCTGTACTTTAGCCTTTAATATCTTGGGAGTGAAAATGTAGTGTGGACCTCGAACCACAAAGGCAAAATGGTACGTTCAAACAAAACAATAGACTCCTGCAAAAACGTGTTCTATTTAAGTTGAAAGCTGGGTTCAGTCCTCCCCAGTTTTCTCTTATTCAAAGGTTTGGTATAAGGTTTGGTATGTCTCTTTAAATCCTATCAATGGAGGACAGAGGCATTATTCAATTTCAAATGCAAACGCTATATAGCGGAAGTTTGGTATGTCTCTTTAAATCATAGAGGTAAAGAACAAAGGCGTTACTCCATTTGAATCAGGGACGCTGTAAAGCAGGGTACCAAAACTAAGTCCCAAGCCGTTTGCTTCTTCCCCTGCAAACGCTATATAACGGAAGTTTGGTATGTCTCTTTAAATCATAAAGGTAAAGAACAAAGGCGTTACTCCATTTGAATCAAGGACGCTGTAAAGCAGAGTACCAAAACTAAGTCCCAAGCCGTTTTGCTTCCTCCCCTGTTTCTTCCAGCAGAGCGCTCACGTAGAGATCCCAAACAAAAACTTTCCTTACGCAGTTTCTGTCCTTTGCCCCTACGTGATTAATATTAGGATTTAGGATGAAAGCCTGGGTTCCGCTCAGCCGATAAAGTACTCCCCTCCTATACACCGCCTTAAGAAAGTTTGTATCCAGCTATGAGCAGTTAAGAACAAAAGGTGTGTCTGTGGAACCCCCCCAACCTGTTATAACATTCTCCGTCCCAGTATGTTAGGGGTGTTCCTTCTCTTTTCTCTATAATTTAGTCCATCAAGAAATCTCGTTGTTACTTTACCTCTGACTCCTTGTACTTCGTGTCTGAGGTCTCTCCTCCACTCTCACTTAGCGGTGAAGTTTCAGATCTTTTCTTCTCCACCAGCCTTCTGTTGTACTCTCTTTACCCCTTACCGCCGGTGGTGGATTCCTCCTCCTTTCATCTTATATCTGGTCTCTGCTGGGTTCTTATCACAAAGTATCTTTCTAGTCTTTACTCCTTTGTTTCTCAATATTATCCAGTTATTTCCACTGCTTCTCCGCAGTGTCCAGCAGCTATTTCCCAGCTTTTCTGCTGCTGTTGGAGGTCCGCCGCTTTCCCTCGGAGCCTGAGGCTTCACAATATGGAGTCTGTTGCTTCCCCTTCACGCTGCGGCTCCAGCCCTGTTAAACGCCGGCAACACGGGCGAGCACACGCAGCCACGCTGGGTACCTCGTCCCACAGGATATTCCACCTGTGGTTTCGGGGTTCACGGAGCCCTCGTGACCCCTCCAAGACTCCGTATTGTTCGAGACCTCCCCGGAGGGTTGCCTCGCGCTCCTTCCCACTTCTTGCAATGAGGGAGTATTTTGCAATGTGTTGTGCAAGGTGCTTTATGGTTTTTTATTGTATTTTTGCAGACAGAGCACAGACCACCCGGATGAAGCTCTTGGACCACTGCTTTGGGAGCCCCTCTTCTAAGAAACAAGTCAGGTGGAAAAGAGACCTTCTCTGTGATCTGCTGGAAAACCTGCATGGAACCTGATACGGAACGGGGGGGGGCATGTCTTCACCTTCTTCTTCGCTACAATATATCTATTTATTTCCATCTGCCAAGCCCTTCCTCCGGGCGATGCCAGGTGACAGACTATGCAAACATGGACCATTGTCTTCTCAGGATGTGCTTATCTGCGCATATCTCCAGCTCTGCATATTCCCCCCTCCCTCCTCCATATGTTAATCCAGTGTAACCCAACCTCTCCTTAATGTATTCATGATGCAATCTGTGTAACCCAACCTTTCCTTAATGTATTCATGATGTAACTGGGATGTATTTTGCACTGTATTCTGGGACATGGAGGGAGTTTCAAAAGTTCATGTCACCCCTTTTTCGCTGTTCAATCTCGCCTTGAACCTGTTGCGCAATAAACTTGGATCTTCTGCAGTTTGCTCCTGCGTCCGGCTGAGCTCATTTTCTTCCGCAGGGACCCACGGACTTAGTCCGATGAGCTGGGTGGCAGAGTAACACCGCACCCAGATTTTTCCGTAACAGTTGGCGCCGCAACGTGGGGCTTGCGGTTCTCCCGGGCTGCTGACTGGGGGCCCCGAAATCTTCAGCCGGCTCCAGGCCATTTTGCCTGGGAAGATCCTTTTGGACCCCCAGCCATCTTCTGGGCGGTAATCGAAAGCCCTAGGAGTTCAGCCGGGGAGCAAAAGAGGGATCCAGCCGGCTTATTCATCGATCCCGGGATCAACGTTGAAGACGCGTGAGTATAGGAAAAGAAATCCAGTGCACTGGTGGGAAGGGGGTGGAATCTCCTGGCAACTGAATTCTCTGCCCTCTTCTCTATCGCTCCTTCTTGCCTTTCTCTTGGTCCGGTTAGTGAGAGAGACCGTGGACCGCTGCTCAACCCGAAAGGGGGGTTCTGAGCTCTATCTCTTTTCCTTAAAATCTCCAGCCAGCCGCACCAATTGGGAGCCCGAAAGTAAGACGGAGAGACCCGACTTGAAAGATAGCCGACTCTCCGCAACGGGCATCCCAGTTGAAAGCAAGGGGTTGGAGCTCTCTTTCCGAACTTCCCGAGCGTCCTTGCTAGGGGGCAGGAAGTGGTCTTGCTTTCTATCCCAATCCCAGCCGCACTGGTCGGTGCCACGTAACACGTGTATCGTGCGTGAGCCCGCTTCCAAAAGCAAGGGGGATTTTCAGTTCGAAATTCTATCCAGGGACCACCCGATCTGGCACCGCATGGCGCGGGCGTCCAGTAGGGCCCCTTTTCCTGAGATGTGACGATAGGTAGGAGGTTGCCAGGAGGGATAGCCCATGAGGAATTGGGCAGGACCGGCAGAGTGGAAGAGACCCCAGGTTATAGGAAATAAGGAAATAGGAAATAAGGAAATAGGAAAGGGAACGCAAGGAACCGGATAGCTAGAGCTCTCTAAAACCCACTAAGGAAGTTGCCAGGCAACTAGAAGCCCCTTCTCCTCTTTACTATACGTCCCTGTACTAAGCATACCAAACCCCTAGACATACCAATCCTAATCAACCCCTCTCTTTCCCCCTTCTCTATCCCAGACACCCCCCCCTCAAAAAAAAAAGCAAAAAGCAAAAAAAACAACAACAACAGCAACGCATGCATCTATAAAGGGGTACCCAGTCGACCAAGCGTTATGAGCCCTACCAGTTTGATTAACTGGTGGTGTGTTTGAAGAGGCAAGGAGGCTCATAAAACCATGTGGGACCTTCCTACTAATTTCACTTAATGAAGCCAAAGGTAGTGGCCCAACTCCTTGCAATAACCAACTAAAGGATGAGAATATATATGTTTACATGTCGTCTGTTATGTGTGTTGTCTGTTAATACATATATGAGAATATGTATGTTTACATGTTGTCTGTTATGTGTGTTGTCTGTTCCTTCTGTCTCTGGCAGACTGCCTTTCTTAAGTGTGCATAGTTTAAACTGCAAGCTTGCTTCAAAATTTAAATCTAAGGAAGCCATGCTGGATCTTAGCAGTCCTAAATAAGACAAAAATTGAGAATGAAGTGTGCAAATGTTTACCCCACCTCTTGCTTTGCCCCAACTTTTGAGATTGTGAGTCTACAGTCTTATTTTGGAAGGTGCTTTTAACCTAATGTTTCTGCTGCAAAAGCCTAGTTGAGCCAACTGCTCTCTCAAGCTAAAATGCAGTGTATGTACTTCATTAAGCATATGCCTATAAAAGTATGGTGTTCATTCTAAGAAAAATATTTGAGTCCAGTTTTAACTTTGATTTGGTTGGACAGAAGAGTTATTGTAAGGCTCCTGATATCAGTCTCTATAAGACTTCATGGCCTCTTTTGTTAGAAAATGCCCCCCCTCCCCCTTGTTTCACTCTGCCTCTTTCAGTTGTTTTCTCCCTTCTTACTTCTGTGCCAGGTAAATTTACTCCCGAGTAAGCTTCCTTTAAAGGAAACTGCAAAGAGGGGAGGGGGGCAACACTTGTGTATTCCCTTAAAAAAAATCAAATCTAGGGCTGCTTTAACTGTGCTTTATAAGAGATCCTCTCCCTATCTTACGAAAACTGTTCACTTCAATCTTCCTTAAATATCATTTCAAACTCACTCAAACTATCTCAAGATCTGCAAAAAGGGTTCTGTGTAAAGTTATGTACTTTTATTTTCCTCTTCCTTAGTACATGATAGGAGCATAGATGTTTCCTTTCCCAGCTGTAAATCTGTACTTAAATGTGTATGCCTCTTTGGTAGTAACAAATCTTGCTGCGAAATCTTGCTGTGAACCCTATATTTTGGAGGGTTGGACTAGATGACCCCAGGGTCCCCCTTTCAACTCTCCCAATTTGTGGCTGTGTGGAAGGACATGTGTCTGCAAGCATTGCAGGGTAATTCTTAAATTCTGGCGTGGTGATGGAGTCGAAATTCAGCCTAGCTTTGCTCTTTAGTTTTAAAAAGGTGAGAGGTGAAGCTGTGATGTTTTGAAGCACAACTGGTAGTACCAAGCATTTGAGTGATTACAGTGTTTATCATTTTGTTTATCATTTTGTCTACTATTTGAAAATCAGACAAATACATATGGGCCTTGACCAATCCTGTAAATAAAGGGGCAGGAAAATTTTTGTCTGCAAATGGTAAGGCCGAAAAACTTAGAATGTTAAAATAATAATAATAAAAAAAAATAATTAAAAAATCCTATGAATTCTGACTCTCTGGCTATTTTTTCCCCATATATAAGGCGCCGGCATTGTTCCACGAATGGCCAGAGGGATATTAGCCCTTTCCTGTACATAAAGGAAGCAGTCGCTTTGCTTGGGCAGAATTGCTAGCTTTTGTTGGTGAATACTTCAATTGCTGAGTTTCTCTCTTTTGTTTAAATCTAACCCTCTTTTAAAATCTACTCCTTACCCTTCCCTTATTCAAATTCTAATTTTGCCAAAAGATGCAACATTTCAATAGTATAAAGGTTTGCTGAGACATGACTCCACACATGCACAGAGACTAGATCAAAAAAAAAAAAAAAAGGATAGGAAAAGAAATGAGAGAGAGAGAGAGAGAGGAAGGAGGGGGAACTGTGGGGGGGAGGAGGTTTTTTTTTAATGTAAAACTTGGAACCATTGAGAGAAATCACCCTTAATGTGTCCCAAGTTTGAAATCTTAACATGCCAAATTCTTTTCACAGGTAAATATCAAAGAATTCCACCCCTCAATGGGATTTAAATCACAGACTTTGTTTGTCTGCATTTTAGGAACAGCATTTCCTGACAGGCTTCTCACATGAAATAATTTTCCCTTTTAACAGGATATGTGAACCCGATAACAAAGTGTTTGTCCCTTTTTTTCCTCCCACAGCGACTTTCTTTCTATTCCGTGAAACAAGCCTGAATCTCTTTGTGGCTTTGACACTTTTAAAATTACAAATAATCTGTTTTCCATTTATTTAATCCGTTTTTCCATGATGTCTATGAAGTTATCGAAGCACAACCAAACATTGTTTGTGGAATGGTATT